ACGACCTCACTACCCTGGATATCATCTGTTCAGTCATGAGCGGCATTAACTATCACACATGCAGGGCTTCCTACTAAAACTGGTTCTTGTAACTCCATCTCATCAAACAAAGAAAGGCCTCCACCCAGTGGTACAACTCAGAGTTAGCGCAAAAATACCACCATGCTTCGTGTAAAAGTCAAGTTTGTTTTATATTTAAGTCTTTATGTTTACAATGACCCCAAACTGTCTCTGTGAATTAAAAAATAAAAACAATGAACAAATCCTTTGCTTGCCCTTCTCTTACTCTTTAAATCAAGGATTGTTTGCTTCAGGTAAAATGATGAGTGAGTGCTGAAACATCACTTTTTTTTATGGCTCATATGTTTTAATTTCAGTGTGAATCTAACTTTTGACAGAGAGCTGACGGGGGTCACATACAGGAACGTTTAATTTGATGGCTGAATGACATCACATGCATTATCTGCTGATGAAGCACGTCATCAGGAAGCATAAGAAAAGTCACTGCTGCATTTGAGGTTTAAATCATGTTAAAGTGCTACAGACGGGAAGAATCACCGTTTATGGAAATTCCTTTCCAGCATCAGTGTGAACTTTTTTAGGAACACGTCCCTCGCGTGAGACGTCAACAAATCTTTTAGTGACAGCGTCACCGTTCTTAGAAGTGAGATATATTAGCATATGTTGAAAACACATCAATGAAGGTCAACGGGTACTGCACGCTGTCGTTTTCTCTTAAATATTCAGTCACGTCCACCAAATCTGCCTGAAAGTGTTTATCTATACCGTAAACAAGAACTGTGGTTCTTGGAATTTGTCTGTTTGTGAGGAGCACTATCCAGTGGCAGAGTGCAGTAATTAAACCCAGAGCGCTGAGATCAGTTTCATGGCGGAGGGAGTGTGAAATGCATTCTGATGCAGGTGTTGTTTCTCTCACACGTGTGAGGGCTGAGTGGAGTCATTGAATTATCAGGCAGCAGGCTGTGGATACAGACAGCACCTGCAACATTACAGCAATGCCTGCACTATAATCCAGTGATATTCAGCATTATGAGTACTTTTGGTACTATAAGTATACTTTGATGCTAATGATTGTTCTCTAGTAAATATGTGAATGCAGGCTGTGGTTTCTACTTTTACTTAAAAAATATTGTAATTCCACTGGTCATAACATGACATTTTAAAGGTACCACTGTGTATCCAGATGATAGAGTTTACTGGATACATGTAAAAGTTAGAAACAAACTTCTTTGAAATGCAAAGACCAGGATATTTTCGAGTTTAATTCTTCTACCTGTGAGGTTTTTTTGCTATAACAATGTACAAACAATTAGTCATACCGGTTAATTTACCAACAAAAAAGAAAATGAATTGCAACATCAGAAAGTGATTTAATGTGAACTATAAAACATATCTGTGTACTCAGCAAGGGCCCGCTTTGCAACAAGGACCTAAACTGTGTGTGTGCGTCGCTCTCTGCCTGACTGCCTGGGGTCAACAAAAGGACAACAGAAGTGTGAGAGGGAGGGAGACTCACAGCAGGATGAAGAAGCAGTACAAGAATAGCCTCTGTCCGTGTGCTGACTGTGAGTCAATGCACAGTCACCATTTGAGGCCCTGTCTTCAGCTCACAGTGCAGCCGCCTGCTCTCTGGGACTTTCCCACAAAAACCAGGTGCAGTTGGTGCTACAGGATTATATGTCCCCCTGAGATGGTATCTCAAGGGTATTAAAAGCTTACTGATTCTTGAGAATTTGGATAAAACAGGTTTTAATTTTGAACAGAAATAAAATGTAATATTAAGAAATCTAAACGTGTGTGTTTATTGTACAAGATCTTACCAGTCTAGCAGTATTTTGGTGCAACCTCCTGATTTTGGTAAGGAAGTCCGAGATGTGTTAATATATTTAACGATTTGTTTAAATAGTTATTAGAAGTGCCCTTTTTTTCACTTCAGCCCTGCACACCAAAATGTCTGTGCACGTCCCTGTTCTAGACGACGCCTTGTTTATAATTAGGTGTTTGGGAGGAATCATCCAGACTGTTTCCCAGTCAATGCCATTTACAAAGTATATTATAACACGTCCCTGCAATGGACTGGTGAGAAACTCACTCAAATGTTTCCAACTGGTGACACTGGGAGGGGAGACGGAGGTAGGTGGAGGTCTGCCTGTATTTCTATTATCGCGCCTGATGGAATGGCATCAAATACTACTGCAAATTCTGAAATACTGTATGTTGATTAGAGAGCAATCGCCATGGAGTTACCCGGTTCCGGCTGAGGGTAATGAGACAGCAGTAACAAATAGGGAGAAGGAAGAGCTAATGGCAAAAACCTTTGTTACGGTACATAACTCAAATAATATGCAGGAAGAAGGTAGAAGAGGTCGAGAGAAAACAAAATCTGAAAATATGGAGGCTTTAGGTAGGAAAAGTAGTGTGGAGGATGGACTGAATGTCCCCTTTACAATAGGAGCGTTAAAAAGGGCACTAGACAAAGCCGGACAGAAGGCGCCAGGGAAAGATGAAATATGTTATTGTATGATAAAGCAAGAAAAATGATTGATGTTGTATAACAGAGTGTGGGTAGATGGAATAATACCAGGGAGCTGGAAGGAGGCTATAATAATTCCAATAAGGAAACCTGGAAAAGATGCCAGCAGACCTGGAAGCTATAGACCAATTGCCTTGACGTCTCATATCTGTAAGTTAATGGAACGTTGGTGAATGAGAGGTTAACACTTCTTGGAGGAAAGAGAAATGGTGGCATCATACCAAAGCGGTTTCAGGAAGGGAAGGAGTACCATAGACCCAGTGCTGCGACTAGAAGATGAAATAAGGAAAGCCCAAGTAAATAAAGAGACAATGGTTGCAGTACTTTTGATGTGGAAAAGGCATATGATATGTTACGGAAGGAAGGATTGCTAATTAAACTAAACCTCATGGGTGTTGGAGGGAGAATGGATCAATTGGATTATGGACTTTTAAAATGAAAAACTATTCAGGTGAGGATAGAAGCAAAACTATCTAGCCAATATATAGTAGAGAATTGGACATCAGGGGAGTGTAATAAGTCCAACTTTATTTTCCATTATGATAGATGATGTATTTGTAAACATTCCAACTGATATGGGGAGATCATTGTTTGCAGATGATGGAGCATTGTGGAAAAGAGGGAGAAATGTGGAATATGTGGCTAAGAAAATGCAAGATGGAATTAATCAAGTCGAAAAGTGGGGAACAAAATGGGGATTTAAGTTTTCAGTGGAAAAAACAAAAGTTATGTTCTTCACAAGAAAGAAAGTCAAGGACGTGTATTTGAAATTGTATGAAAATAATTTAGAGAGAGTCAAAAGTTTTCGTTTTTTGGGAGTGTATTTTGATGTGAGATTAACATGGAGGGAGCATATTAGATATGTAGTTAATAAGTGTAAAAAAGTTATAAATGTCATGAGGTGTCTTGCAGGACTGGGTTGGGGAGCGGATGTAGCATTGCTGAAATACATATATATATAGCCTTAATAAGATCAAGGTTAGACTATGGAAGTATTATATATGGTTCAGCAGCCAAATCTGCGTTAGCAGACCTGGATGTTATACAAGCTCGGGCTTTAAGAGTGTGCGTAGGAGCGGTTAGAACCTCCCCAGTATGTGCTCTCCAAGTAGAAGCAGGTGAAATGCCATTGTGGTGGAGGAGGAAGCAGCTGGGGGCTAATTATTGGGTCAATTTAAGAGGGCATGGAGATAGCCATCCAGCAAAAAGGGTGCTGCACACGTGCTGGGAGAAGCAGACAACACAAAAAACAAGCTTTGGGTGGACAGGAGAGCAAATGGCAAAGGATACAGGGGTATATGATGAAGAGTTTGGTGCAAATGTGGTGTGGCCTATCAGACCTGTCTGGGAATTAGAAGTACCATGTGTAGATTTAGAACTACTTGAGATTAAACGCAATAACAAGAATGCCGATTTAACTAGTGTATATTATAGCTATAGGGAATGTAAGTATAAGGAAAGTATTCAGATTTTCACAGATGGGTCAAAGGACATGCAAACAGATACAACAGGGTCTGCAGTTGTTGTTCCTAATTATCAGTTAGAACTTAGCAAAAGAACATCTGATTGTCTGAGTGTGTTTGCAGTTTGCCATATTGATGGCAATATTAATATGTAGTGACTCTGTGTCAGCTCTTATAAGCATGAAGACATGCACAACTAGAAGTCACCTGGACCTGCAGTATGAAGTCTTATTTATGAATTCAAGAATAGCTAGGCAGGGGAAAAATGTCATATTCTGTGGGTCCCTGCACACTCGGGAATTCAGGGAAATGAGAAAGCAGATAAGGTGGCAAAAGAAGCAGTTAAAAAAGGAGATGTTGAAGTCAAAATCAGAGGGGAAAGGCATAGTGTGGAGAAGTGTAAATCAACAATGGCAACAGAGCTGGGATAATGCAATAAAAGGGAGACATTTACACGAAATCCAAAGCAAAGTAGGGGAGCAAAGAGGAAAGAGCAGGTGATAATAGGTAGGCTGAGAATTGGGCATAGCAATCAACAAAACAGCACACTTTTAATTACAGGAAAACATCCTACAGGAATGTGTGAACAATGTCAGGAGGCCTCAAACAGTAGAACAAATTTACTCAGGAAAGACAAGAAATGATAACACAGTTAAAAAAAATAGGACGGATAGATGATACAGTAAAAAGTTTATTGGAGTATGGAGAAAGTGTGGAGGGTAGGAAATGGATATTTGGTTTTCTGAGGGTGACCGGATTAGATAGGCGGATTTAATATGAATGGAAGCAAAGAGTAAATAAAACCTGAAGGTGGATGTAATGCAACTCAATGGATGCCAGCTGCCGTGAAAACCCAAAGAAGAAGAAGATGAAGAAGAAGAAGAAGAGAGCAATCGCCCCTCTCCGGTGAGCGTAGACTGTGCGTGTGATTCATCTTGTCAACGTATGATCTTTGGCGTTGGTGACGTTGCGGCAGGATGGGGCGGGCGGAGTGAAGTCGCGCCGGGAGATTCGAGCCCTGTTCGCGGGACTGAAAGCTTTAACGGTCCCTGTGTGACCTGCTACATTTGGAGCCATGTTGTTACCCTGTGTGATCCTACAGAGCGGAATCAGCAGCTGTTAAACATTCACTTCCATGCAGGTAAAGTTACGAGTCTGCTTCTCACCGCGCTGCTGCTACAACAACCGGAGCGGAGCCGAGTCGGCTAGCATAACAAGCTAACCGCGCTAACGAGCCACCTAACGTTAAGATGACTCATTTCCTAAGCGTATTTACAGCAATAACACGTCAGTTAATATCATCAGGAGCTCTTTATGTGTTGACTTCAGTAACAGCGTTATTTAAGGTATTAAGCGCCTGTCCGCGGCATCACAACCTCACAAATGCTATAGCTAACTTTAGCTCCTGTGTCCGTGGTTACCAGACTATCTAAATGTTTTTGTTATTTTTTATTCTATCATATTTTATAACGTTTCGTATATGCTAAGAAGTTACATCAAAAGTCATGTTCATAAAAGTTTGAATAAAAGACAAGCAGCTGCTGTTGGCTCTGTTTTTTTGAAGGCCTCGGCGACCCCGGTCTATAGTTTAGTGCTTAGCCGGAGAACGCGCCACCTGGTCCCGGGGAACGCGCCACCTGGTCCCGGGGAACGCAACGGGAGGCTTTTGCGGTGACAGAAAACAGATAGCTTAATTAATTATAAAAGGATATATAAGAGATAAACCAGGTAAAATTTCTCTCAAGTCACTATTTCATTGAGGCTCCTGCAGCTTCTTGTTGTACTGCCCTAAAGTATCATCTGAGATATATGACAGTATGTTAGATTTCTTTATCCCCCAAAGAAGACTTCCTCTGCCCTTCTGGTTGTGCTGCAGGAGGGACTTTGGTGTTTACTGAAAGCTACTTTGACAAAATGTGTCACGCATGCTGCCAGCTTTAAGAGGCTGTGTTGAACAGCAGCAGGGAGTTATATTGAATGTGCCTCTTAAAGTTCAAACAAACATTTAAAACGGTGTTAAACATCAGACACTAATACAACAACACAGTGGTAATCAATTACAACAACAAACAATACATCAAATCAGTTTTTGAAATGCCTTTACAGAGATTGTGAGGTAAGCACTGTGGCCCAGCGTGTTGCTCTTCTCTTTCCCGTGGTCATATGTTTTGACCTCAGGCTATGAATTGAATTCAGTAATTAGTCATTTAGCAGAGGCTTGCAATTGCTATTTATGTCAGAGGACACACACCTCTGGAGCAAGTAGGGATGGGAATCGTTAATTTTCATTGATATTGATACCCTTATTGAGACTGCTTAATGATCCTGTATCGATACTTGACTGTTATTTGGTAAAGACGAGACCCAACGGGCCTGAGGTAGGCCTGCAGGGGGTGAGGAAAATATTCAATAGCCTAAATATTGAGATGACTTTTGATAAATAAACATGCTGCCTGGCGGGTTTTAAAAAAAATAAATTATAGGATTAGAATTTAATATTTTAAATACAGCTACATTAATGTTTACAACAGCAAAGTCACCGTACAGTCAATACCTGCCATCACAACACTGAGTGACCCTGATCCTCCTCCTCTCTACTGTTAATCACTGCCTGCAGGTAACGTCACCTGATGGAAGGAGGAGCGGCTGGTTTGTCTCAGCCAGCAGCAGAGTTTTTAACAGTGTGCCACATTCTCAGCTTTCTGTTATCTTGTTTTTAACGTTTGCCTTATTGCCGAGCTAACGTTAGCTGTGCTTGAATAGGACACGCAGGATGAGGGTCTGCGGACACAGCAGTTTAAAATGAACCCTTTCTACATGTTTGCCTTACAAACAAGTGCACTGATAAAGTATTGTCTTTTTACCCGCGAAGGTTTTATTGCACATAACGAGCGCCGCTGTCTGCATCTCGAGTAGTTTGGAGCCAACGTATCTTCACTGTCTCCACAGCGACGGAGCGGCGTCTGTCTCTGCAGGGCGCCGTGTGTGCGCGCACAACAGAGAGCAGGCCGAGGCTGCAGCCCGATGATAAACAGTCCCGGTGTAATACCACGTTTCAGTGCCATCAGTAAATAAACATTAGTTTTCTTGTCCATTGCGTTTGAAGATAAATCAGATTTGATGCTCTGCTGCCATAACGTTACATCACAGGACCCGCGAGTCTCCATAGCAGTATCCATAAGCTCGGACCTTATTGATTTTAGGGTTTAGAGACATTTTGGAACCGGGTCTCGATCCCCATCCCTAGGAGCAAGTAAGGGTTAAGTGTCAGGGAAACATCTGTCACAAAAGGCACGTGTCTTATCCGCTGCGTCATCACCATCCCAGAAGAGGAACATACGGGGTTGAGAGGTCAGTAAAGGTGCTGATAACAGGAGAGAGAGGGTTGCACCGTGTTGTAGATGGATCGGTCGCACACTTGGAGAGAAACCTTCATTCATACCTGGGAACAACACAGAAGGAAGGAGGGATTTAACATGAAACCTTGCTGACGTGACGTGCTGGCAGAACATCGTCTAATATTAAAGGGCCGCCTGTGTCCTTTCCCACCTGTGCTGCTGTGCAGATGGAGGCCATGGAGGTAGACTCCCCGGTGGAGGTGCAGGCAAGAGGCGGCAGGCAGGCGGCTGCTCCTGCAGCCGAGGACGCCAACGTGCCGCACGTCATCTCAGACTCTGGCAGCAGCACCGAGGTGGACGAGGATGACGATGATGACAACGAAGGAAGGCCGACGGCAGCTCACGCACCGCCCAGGCTTCCCGCCACCTGGGCGTTCAGTCAGAGAGCGGTGGGCGGCGCTGCGTCCACACCTTCAGCAGCTCAGGGGGCGCCCATACGGAGGAGACTCAGGTAGCCAGAGCTAACGCACAGTGAAAGCTTGGTTTATGCCTCGTCTCTGATCTTCTTATGCAGAGCCTTTAAAGAAGTGTTGGACCATTTTAAATAGCTGTAAATGTCAAAGACCCTCCAGTCTCCTCTCAGCAGCTGTGTTTTGTCCCAATGTGTCTTCCTGTGATGTTAAACTGTGTGTGCTGCTCCAGGCAGGGCCTCAGGGTGCACTACCCCAGCCAGACTGCCGCGCCCTCCAGAGGCTTTCCAGACTTCCTGCTCCGAGCGCCGGCTGCTAGTGTGGCTGAACCAGAGTCCGGCAGCACCACAGAGATCAGCGAGTCTGACGAGGAGGAGGAGGCAGAGGAGGATGAAGGAGGCGCACCTGCTGCTGCGCGGCCAGTCGACCCCGTGCCGCCTGCCAGTCCTCGCCTTAACCTCTCCATCCAACTCGCGCAACCACAGGAAGCCGGCCCCACCGGTGAGTCTCACCAGCATTTACTTTGCTGTTCACTGGTTTTCACAGACCCGTGCGGTGGAGGGATGCAGCGATTACCGGATTTCACTATTAACCGCGCTTTAAAACGTCACGGTTAATTAATCGAAAAGGCTCCGCCACACCGAAACTGTGGCAACTTGCACAAAACAAAAAGAAAGTTACAGGAGCGGTGCACCAGCGTAAGTGTGGTGTTTATCAGAGGCTACTTTACGCTCGCTAAACTGCCCGCCGCGGCCAAAGTAGTTGAACTTTAGTGCTGAGCAGCTTCCACGCAGTGCAGATCGCTTCTTTTCTGAAAGGGCCTTTTATTGAAAACGTCGTCCTGTGCAGACCTTCAGTCGCTGAACATTTAACGCTACATCCTGTTTTTGCGGAGAAAACGTGGCCAGGTGTGAAACACTAACGCACATCAGGAGCTGACAGACTTTCAGGACTGTAGGCTACCAATTAACTGCATTCCAGTCACTAAAACACAGGAACACTTCAGTTTATTCCCCTGGGAGATAAAAGTTAAAAATACTTAGATATTACAGAAATATAATTAATGCAATTAAATATTAAAAATCAACTGAAGTCCTTACTAGTGCAGAGTCTGTTGTGTTTAGAAAGTTTAGTGTGACTGTTGTTGTTTAAATTGTGCTATATGAATAAAGTGGATTGGATTTCTTTTTTTTTCCTTTTCATCTGTGTTCAGACTCCAGTTCAGCCGCAGATGGTGAGAGGACCGAAGCTCAAAAGCAGGACGTCCAGGTAACGTTCAGACCTCTACGGTCGCTCTTCTTTCTCGAGAGAAATAATCTTCTAGGCTACTAGAAATAACCCCAACACCGCCGCCCAGGTGGGAAACTTGAGTTTCCTGGACCTGTAGCGCCACACAGATGCTTAACTAGATGTCTTTCTGTTGTAGCGCAGCGGAAACATTTTTGTCTCTTGCACTGACTTCTGTTGATGTTTTAGTCTCCATGTAGCTTGAAACTCTTCTCATTTCCACCTCCAGCCGGTCCCTATGACCTCGGCTTCTGTCCAGTCGTCGCAAGGCGAGGAGGGCGAAGGCGATATCTGCACCATCTGCTTTGAGGCGTGGACAACAGCGGGCGAACACAGACTGTCCGCTCTGCGCTGCGGACATCTCTTCGGCTTCACCTGCATCCAGCGCTGGCTGAAAGCTCAGGGCCCGGCCGCCAAATGTCCACAGGTCAGCGAGGTCACCGTATTTTAACAGGAAGTTGTGTCAGTCCTATTTTTCCGCCCCCGTCTCTCTGCTGTCACATCATGCACCTCCCACCGGGGCTTTGTTGAGTATGTGTTTCTGTTGTTTCCCTTTAGTGCAACAAGAAAGCCAAACGTTCAGACATCGTTCTGCTGTACGCTCCAAAGCTGAGAGCGCTCGACAACTCCGAGCAAGAGATCTTAAAGAAGTGAGTGGTGGTTTCCCTGCCAACGGCGTGTGTCTGCGAGGCACTTTTCATTTCAGCTTGATGAAATAAAGTATAATGTTTAAACCTGAAATTGACCTCTTAGTGTGAAACGGGCGTCTCCTGTAAGATTGAAAGCTGGGTCACAAAGGTTTGGGCTCAAATATTGTGAAGTGTCTCTTTTTATGGAGCAGTAACAGGTTCTGTCCATACTTATATATGTAGATTTTTGCAGCCTTTAATAGCCTTGTCTCATCCGCATGGTGCAGTTGTACAGGATGTGAGTGTATCATGAACAGATTTGTTGAACATGATTACTGCTGCTGTTACTTTCTAAAATAATATTTGTGTAAAAGACAGATGCAGGCTGTGTTTTACTGAAGCACAAAGACTGGGTTAGGGCAGAGCGTTTTAAAAATGAATTTAACTTTTACTAACTCAAAGCTGTGTTGCAAAAGTTCCTAGAATATGTTTAATTGTCCCAATGATACGTGACGCATCTGTCTAACTTGTATTTCTTCTAAAATACCAACACACCCTCACTGTTACTGTGTAGGTGAAGTGTATGATGTAAAATGTAGTGTAAAAATAGCATCACGGAGTTCGGTCTAGACCTGCTCTTTTATGAAAAGCGCTTTGAGATAACTGTTGTTGTGATTTGGCGCTATATGAATAAAATTGAATTTGTATGGTAATGTATTGGTGGATTGGTATTAAACGGTTAGTGTGTGTGTAGGTCTCTGGAGCAGGAGCAGTCTCTAAGAAGGAAGGCTGAACTGGAATCAGCTCAGTACAAACTGAAACTGCAGGTCGTCACCAGCAAATATGGACAAGCGCAACAAGAACTGCAGGTATCAGCGATGACTCTTACTGTTCTAATTCCCTCAAACTTTGAGGACTTCGACCTTGAATCTGATAAAAGATCAATATTATCCTCGTGGGGATAAAGTCGCCCCCCCTCTTCCATGTTGCCAAGCGTTGTCCAACCTTGCACGTTTTAATTTGCTTAATATTTTCCTTTAAAGATGTGTGTTGATATTTTCTTGATTAGTTCTCCTGATTTTTAAGGAGTCGTTAGTGTGCCATAGAAATAATTGGTTAATTTTGATCAGTTTATAAATGTGTGCTTTTTTAATGCCATAAATTATGAGATCGGTGATGACGATGAGTAAACTGAATTAACAAAAGCCTTTTAAGAAAATATTTGTTTTGCAAACTGATTATTTAAAGAATAATAAAAAAACATATTTGGCTCATAAATAAAAGTAACTTTACATGTTATTTGTATGATGATTGATGTGTAAATGACAGTATTCAAAAAATAAACATTTTATAATAAGAAGAATAGATTTTTCAGTTTTTAAATGAATACTTTAAGAGGCTTTGAATAATATATGTTGTTATGCATTTACACATAAATCCCTGAGGAGAATAAATGTGATTAACTGATGAAATGAAAAACATTTTAGCTTCCATAGCTTAAAACCTCCTCCCCCCGCTCTGTCTGTTCAGGAGCTGAGGACTCTGATGGCCCAGGCCGGTCGAAGCTCAGTTCCGTCCTCGTCCTCCTCCTCGTCCTCCTCGGCGTCTACCTCGCTCCTCCTCGGCCCGTCTCAGTCTAGGACGGCCCAGTACAGTTTCTCCAAGGCGGTGCTGGTGTCTCAGGCCGGAGGCTCCAGGGTTTTATCCTACTGTGAACCTCTGAGCTGCCTGCTGGCCTCGCAGCCTTCCCCTCAGTCCACACTGGTGCCTGGTGAGACGCCTCTTCCTTCGTCCTTTTAACCTTTTAGCGGGTCTAAAGATGGCTGCGTTGTTTAATCCATCTGTCAGTACCGCACTTTGGCCCAGAGCAAGATATCTAGACAGACTCTGTTTCCCTTTTACTTTAATCTAAGCATTCACTTCCTGTCTGGGTGCGATCTCAGCCGGATTCACAGGTCAGTTTACCTTTGTTCCACATTTGACCTGGTGGAAGTGCTCGGTCAGCCAACGGATAAACCTGCAGACCTTATTATTCTAGTTTGTGATTGCTCTCATCAATATTTATTTATTTCCTACATCTGGAACTTGATTTTCAGGGCAGGGAAATGTTAATGAGACTTTCCCTGTTGAGTCCTCCGTGAGCTTTCCTTTAGCACCACCTTCAGGCCAAGATGTGAGTTGTAACCTTTTTAAAATTACTGGAACTTTTTCATGAGCTCAGCAATCTTTTAAGGAACTTGAGACTTTATCTGGGTTTCAGCCAGAGGAAACAGGGTATACGTTTGTTTTCTCAGTAGTTACAGAAAGTCTAAAGTCCCTGCTCTGGAGGGAGTGCTCGTAGTGCTGATTGAACTGGTCAGTGCTACAGTTGCTACTTTAGGGACAGCAAATATCACCCAATGATAAATGAGCGTGCGTTATTTAAACAAAGCCATCACTTGTCTGTAAACCCTTTCTAACACTAGATGACTCCTTTCACAAAGACTAATATGGTCAGCCAGCTCTGATTTGTGACCGTTAAGACTCACAGGTTCTGTCCCCTCCTTCAGGTTGTGGGGTGAAGAAGGTGAGCGTTGTCAACATGAAGGCCAGTCAGTACGTCCCCATCCACAGTAAACAGATCCGAGGTCTGTCCTTCAACAGACAGAATGACAGTCTGCTGCTGTCTGCTGCCCTGGACAACACCATCAAACTGACCAGGTACACACAGAGGAAATCCTCTAACTTTGCACTGGTATCTCGTGTGTCTTGAGTTTTATACCTCTGTCCTACAGAGCTGATGAGAATAAATGATGTTCTCGTGTGATTAGTGGACTGACTCTGTGTGTGTTGCAGTCTGCTGACCAACACAGTGGTTCAGACCTACAACGCAGGTAAACCCGTGTGGAGCTGCTGCTGGTGTTTGGACAACAGTAACTACGTCTACGCAGGTCTGAGCAACGGCTCTGTGCTCGTCTACGACACCAGAGACACCAGCACGCACGTCCAGGAGCTGCAGCCGCTTCGCTCCAGGTACACTCGCACTAACACACCAGGCTTTCTGAGTGTGGATGTGGTCATTAAGCCGTCCACTAGGACATCAGTAGTTCACCACCTCTCGCAATAACTTGTGAACTGTGGATTTTTCCAGATGCCCGGTTGCGTCTCTGTGCTACGTCCCGCGGGCGGCGTCCAGCTCGTTTCCCTGCGGCGGCCTGATCGCCGGCTCTCTGGAAGGCGGGTGTTTCTGGGAGCAGGTCAACGAGACCACATACAGACCGCATGTCCTGCCGCTGGAGACCGCCGGCTGCACTGACATCCAAGTGGAGACGGAGAGCCGACACTGTCTGGTCACCTACAGGCCGGGTGAGACCCCGACCCCGCGAACTCAACCAGTATCGTATAGCCAGTCAGCTGATTTGGCAGGATCAGCTGAGGCCACTTTCAAAATAACCTAAAAATCCCAAAGCAACAAGTTCTTCAGCGGTGTTGTCTTGACGGAGTATTTACACAGCAATTGGTGTTTTTAAAATTTATCAACTAAAAAATAAAATGCTTCCCCGAAGCAGAGACATCAGCACGAGCTGATACTGCAGCTCCAGAGCCACTTCAACAACTACTGTCTGATTATTAGGAGCCCATTTTGACTCCTAAAAATGTCTGGAAGGTCTCCTCATAAAGAACCGACCAGTTAGGAACAGCAGCTTGACAGATGCGTAAATCTCCACTGAACGTCGCAGAAGAGAACTTTACCTTAAAACAAAATCCAAACTGCCCCAAATAATAATAGTTTTTTTTAAATCATTTTTCTATGAAAATGAGACTATTTGTGTGCAAAGTCTGCAGTGAAAATATTCACACCAGTCGTCAGGCGTGAAGCAGCAGGAAAAAAAAAGCTGATGAGTGAGATGGAGGGTTAACACGGGAAACTCGAAGCTGCTACTGACGGCTCGTATCTGCCACTCTGTGAATAACAAGCTCACACCTCAACGTTCTTCACTCGACACCATCGACGCACATCAGACAAGTTGAGAATCTTAGAAACACAGACTTGATAAAAACACAGCCAGTTTTGCATTTTGGCCGTCGCCATCTTGGTTGTTTGGAACGAGAAATGTCCCAAATGCTAATGAGAGGATGAAGTTTGCTAGCTTGGTTAGCAAGGTGCATTTGTAATATTTGGCTCGCAAGAAAACAGGCTTAAAACGAAGTGTACTCGCTGGAAAAACAGAAACCGCTGAGCCTAGTGTCTTCTGAAGAAGACCAAAATGTTAACATTAACTTTGATGAACTGAAAACACACTGAAGGGGTCAGAGCTCCGACAGCACTCGAAACAAGTTCACTGCTCGTTAAATGTACAAAGTGCAGTGGATACTCGACGCCTCTGTCCTGACTAACAGGTCGCCGTGGTAGCGACTTGTCAATCAGCTTGTAGCCCCGCCCTGAAGCCTCCCCTGCTTCCTGGTCTCTGTTCCTCTAAACGGGACCATAATTTATTAAAAAAATGAACATCATGCTGTGTTGAAGACTTGAGACCATAAACTCATCAGGAAAGTGTTTACTGAGGGAATAAATCAGCTGACAAGTAGAAACACTTTCTCACACTTCTTTCTGCAGCCGGGGGAGTCGCCCCCTGCTGGCTGCTGGAGAGGACGCAGGTTCCTGCATGCTTAAAAACCCACATCCTTTGTACATGTTCTGAATATCCTGAAAGAAAAAGACAAACAGAAACACAAAGAGATCATCTGTTTTGTGGGGACGCAGTTTCCTCTACCGCAGAACGGACGCTGTCTGAAATGTCGGTTGTCACGTCGTTCGGTCACGTGCAGATTATTTTTGTGTAATGTTGTGAGCAAGTGTCCCGTCTCTTCTGCAGGACGCTCCAACCCGTCTCTGCGCTGCGTCCTGATGTCTCTGAACAGGACGCCTCAGCAGGACTCGAGTCAGCTGCCCAGCTGCTCCTGCTCTCCCGTGCAGACCTTCAGCGCCGGCTCGTCCTGCAAACTGCTCACCAAGAACGCCGTTTTCAGGAGTCCGGATGGAGGCGGGACGCTGGTCTGCGCCGGGGACGAGGCTCTCAAACTCAACAATGGTTAGTCCTGTCTGTGTGTCGTAAGATTTTAGGACCTGATGTTTTCATATCTACCAAAGTGATTCTTGCATTCAACAGACCTTCAAATCTGTCTTGTTAATTCAAAGAGCTTGTTTCTGTTGCCTAATATCTCTGGTAAAATAAAATTTTATATAGTTTGATTTGTAAATTTCTGCTGATTGTAATTTTAAATAGTACGAAGCATCCCAAACACCTTGTGTATTTAAAATGAAATTTGATTTGATTGTCATTTTAAAGAGTCCAAAGCTGCCGAGTACATTTTGAATTAATTTTATTCAGGGTTTTTAAGTTGTTGTTTTTTCATTTGAAAGAGACAAAATTTTCCAAAAACGCTAACATCCTTTCTTATCTTACCTCCTCATGCTCCTCAGGTGTGGGACGCGGGCAGCGGCTCTCTGCTCCAGAAGCTTCCGGCAGACCTCCCGGTGTTGGACATCAGTCCGTTCACGGTGAATGGCGAGCACTTCCTGGCCTCGCTCACTGAGAAGATGCTGAAGATCTACAGGTGGGAGTGAACTGGTTTCATCCAGACAACAAGGCGCGTCCCAGAGCACAAGGAGAAACTGTGGAAAAACCAAATGCTGCTGAACTTTTATCTGTACGTTTAGACACACAAAAACTGATTACTGGGAGGGAACGACGGGAAGAAACATTTCAAAGTCACTGTCAACATCATTCTTTTTTTTCTAAATATCCGCCTTACTGCATCTGGCACAGAAAGCCAAACGCAGCCTGAGTCAGGTGTAAATAGATTGTGTTTACATGAGTCAGAGGCCAAATTATTAACGTCGACGTGAACACGCTCGTTGACCCGACCGAGTGAACAGAAGGTGTTTTCTGTCCTGTTGGTGGGGACCAGGTGTGAGCCGGTATTGGATGGACGTGATACTGAAAATGTGGAGGCTCATCAACTACAAGTTGTGGATGCTTTCCATTTCTTGTGACATTTCAGGGTGCGCAGCTTCATGTCTTTTCCTACATGTCCAGGCAGCCATTGGTCCCCATTCCTTTTTGTATAGTATGAAAATCAGTTTAGCAGACTGGTGGAACTTGTTTGACTCGTCCAGTCCATCAGTCAGCAGCAAGTTTGAGGATCCAACTTACTATTTTCATTATCAGTCAATCTGCTATCTATAAAATGTGAGAATATGGTGAAAATGTTCCGAACAATCCGAGCAACCTCATTCATTTTATGATCACGAAGGACAAAAGCAGAACGTTGCCACATTTGAGGAGATAAAATCAGCAAATATTTTGCATTTTTGCTTGAAAAAGAAAAAGGCTTAAATGATTGATCAATTATCCCAACAGCTGTTTCGTCTCTAAGTCTGTTTGTTGTATCATGGTAATTAAGCAAGCACAGGTTAATTGGAGAAATCTTCTCTGCATTATCTCCCATACTAAAGCCTGATCAATATATCCGCCGCTGTTATCTTATGATCAGCGTAACACCAACTGACAGATGTGTTTGAGGTCATTTTCACACTGTAAAATGTCCAGCTCTCTACGTACCCTTATTATAATTCTTTAAAAACCAAGGTAAGGGATTTTTATTAGAAATGTGACGAGGTATCTGCTTTACAAGATCCATTATTGATCTGACTTTTCTCCAAATGGTCATGTAAAGTAAGAACTGCTAATATTTTCTAACATCTAAACTGATGGCTGCTTGGAAAAGAAGGAAAAAATGTGTGTTCTTCATCACTGCTGATTTTTTTCCAAGTCATATCAGCACCGTATAGAGAGCGACTTAAATGACTGATAGATAAATATATACTTTATTTTTTAGTCAGTCAATTTTTTTAAGATTTAAGACCAGAGAACAGAAGACAACAGAAAAACATTAACAGTGTTCATGTTTGCCCATCGTCTTATTTTGTGGATTTGATTTAACGACAGAATTAGCCGGTCGCTGCAGCTACGGAACTGAAGTTTGGGATGTCAGAGGATCCTTGAATCCACCACAAGCAGCGGGTTAGAAAAGATATGTTTGCATCAGCGTGAACACACGGAAATAAGTAGATGTTCACCGTCAGCAGGTTGCACACGGAGATGAAATGAACCTGTTGGCTGAAAGGGATAAGAAACTGGTCAGAAGTGATCTCAAATGTTCCTGAGTTGTAGTTAATGTGTTAAAATAAAGAAATCCACAGACTGTTCTCCAAATTCAGCCAATGGAACAGCAGGGAGGATTCTCCAGAGGAGTTCTCCGATAGAAACCAGGATCCTGTGGCATAGAAAGACCTGGTCCTGGTTTCAGAACATCCTCTGTAGCTGCAGAACAGAGCGGCTCAGAGGGCGAGAGTTTCTCATGATCCATGTTAAGAACTTTTCCCGAATAAGACCACAACCAGGATACCGATGCGCACATTAACGCCATTTTTAGCTGACAAATACATGAGGTGTACCAGCGTTCTACCCTTTGATTTAAAATATGAACCCACCCGAGTTGAACGAAGCAGGACTTCACCTTCCAGCTCTGAAACAGTCACCTGAGACCGAAGATCACATGAAGAAACTGAGTCGATTCTTTTTAACTTCAGTCCCCCGTCTGAGCCCGAACATTAAGTGCCAAAACATTTTACTTTCCTCGTTGTCTTTCTAAAGGAAGGTGTGTGTGTGTGTATGTGTGTGTATATATATGTATATTTGCTACCAACTGTTTGTGTACGACTTCAAAGTTAATAAAAATGAGTCCTTTTAATTGAAGTTGTCCGAGTGGGCTGGATTTAGCATTGAGCTCTGTGTGGGGCGGGCGGCTCACCACTTTGGTCCAGACTGAAAAATCTCAAGAAGTAGTGGATGAATGAAATGTGGTTCAGACCCTCACCAGTGTGCGTGTAGAGCTTTTTAAATTAGCAAGGTGCTGAAAGAGAATCTGCAAATGTTAAAGCAAGATGGAATATAATACTATAAAAATTTAAATATGTTTGCGATTCCATTTTGAAATTATAAACTAAATAATGAAATAAAATCATTAATTGTCAAATTTCATTTTTTGACTTTTTAAATTCTAAAAGTAGTTTTTGTAAATTGGTTAGAATTAAACTCACACAGTCTTTGGCACACACTCAAAGCTCAGTAGTAATAGTTGCAAGGAATATAAAATATATTAAAGAATAATACAGACTCTGAACAATATGCCTGTTATTTAAATGACAAGTATAAGGTTGTCTTTGACAAATAAATCAGAGTTAGATTTCTGATGTGTTGGTGGTCCGGTGGTGCTGCAACTACTCACACACTAGTGAGTTTAATGAGTGCAACATTTCCCTCTGATTCAACAAGAGGGACATATGATGTAGTTGAATACTGTATAAAAGTAAACGTAGCCTACTTGTCACCAAATAGCTGGAAACTACAAACAGGTTTCTCGATCTGCACTTTAAGTGATTTTTCAAAGCAGCACGAAACAACTGACTTCAGATCATCTGCAGATTCATCTTTTTTATTTGACTTTATTACACTCAGCCCTGCTCCGTCATTTCTCCAACTAGATGCTGCATTCAAGGCAGGCTCGTAAAGTTCTACTTTACACTCCAGAAGTGGCAAACTCAGTGGATGACATGCACTGCTCATAGAGCTCTGTGGTTGGAAATATGTCCATAAAAATGATTTAATTATTTCAGTTTGACAAAGCTTAAAAATACAAATAAAACCTATAATATTTATTAATAACGTGTCTTCAGTTAACACAGTTTTGTTCACTGGCTTAACAACAAATCATTAATGTTTCACCACAAGTGTCAAATTACCTAAAACCACCGCAAGTTTTCTGTTTCCTTGTTCCTGTATGTGAAGGAAAGCAGCGCTCTGCACGCCTGAATAAATGACACTCATGTTTCCTGGTGTGAGTTTTGATAAGATCCATTTTTTGTCCTAGTCAATCAAACGCTGGCTCTTATTTCCGTTTTGTGCAACACTCCACAGATGGTGTTGCTTTCCAGTAAATTTTGCGGAGGGATCCATAAAAGATCTGTGTCTCAGTTCTATAACACAGTTTGTACTATAAACTTTTCTTTAGGGCTCAAATGATAGAAGATAGAAAATGTATCAATAACTGTTCAAATTCTCTGGCTTAAATGTAAAGATTTGCTGCTTTCCTGTTTGACATCATTATAAACAACCAGATATTTGAAGAAATCATCTTGAGCTCTTAGGAAATTGTGTATTTTCCTTTAACATTAAATGCAAACGGTGCTTTGGTTCATCAAAAAGTATCTATAAATGAATTAATGTTAAATACATGTATGCATATATATATATATATATATGCATACATGTATTTTTTCAGTTAATTAGTGTAAATGTTTCTGCTTTTTGTTGAATGAAAAATTTTTTGTAGAAAAATATTTCTCAAAACAAGGTAGGCTATCTCAAAATCCTATTGGTATCTCTACCAAAACCCATCTGCAGTATAAATACTACTAGTATAAGAATCAGAAAGTATGTCATTTCCTTATATGTGCAGTATTTTAAACATACAAGGAAATTTCTATCGTGATAAGGTGCTACACGTTTAACAAATATAAAGTTGAATATGGAAATATGGACTAAACAGATTTATAAAAGAATAATACAACTATTAGTAGAGGATAAACGATGTGGCAGATATTTACATGTGCATTACTCCGAGTTTGTGGAGAGGATTTGTATAAATATGTAAATGGACAAAATATAGAAGATGAATAAATATGTGCAATGTGTACAAATGATACCCAGCTCTTCTTCTCCTTATTCCTAAAATGCTCAAGTTTTAACAACTCAAAGTCCCAGCTTGCAGCTCCCGTGCAAACTTTGCACCATTCTACTTTCTGTACAACCTTAAGTTTGGTCTGTCAAAGTGTTTCATTTGTTTCTATGCTAAAAAGACTTGATCTGCCATTACAATAATTAGAAACGCCGGGAGAAGACCATTTCCATGGTGGTTTCAGCGCTCATTAATTATTCATGAGCTGCCCGGTGTCATCCTAGAAAGAAAGAAAAAAATCTGTCTGCAACTTTACTCCAAGTCCCCATATTTCCGAGGGCTCGTGAACGCAGCAGTAGGCTGACTGGCTCCGTGAAGATGGCGGACTGTATACGTGTTCCTGTGCTCCTGCTTTTGATGTGCATCTTGTCGTCTGTGCATCCAATTCGAGGCGAAAACAATATTGTCGCCAAACTTGCTGCGAACGCACAGAATCCAGCCGGAGGTCCTGGAGCGGCCGTGGCGAACCCGGGAGCCGCGGACAGGAACCTGGGCGCAGGGGCCTCGTTGACTCGGCGGCGCTCTGCCGGCTGGAAGTTGGCTGAGGAGGCGGTGTGCAGGGAGGACCTGACCCGGCTTTGCCCCAAACATTCCTGGAACAACAACCTGGCGGTGCTGGAGTGTCTCCAGGACAAGAAGGAGGTACATTAGTGGGGCAGGGTCCTGTGTTTCCGGGAAAGAAGCGGGGTGTGCCTGCCGAACAGAACCTGCTAACGGTGGCTGTTGTAGCCATCCGCTAGCCCCTGTAGTGAGAGAACGTCACGCGAAATGCCGCTCAAAAACTGTGCAATTTATTACTTATGGTGTCCTCTTCAAAATGACACGCACTGTAGAAAATAACCGAACACACATTCAGGGTCGGCAGGATCTCCTCTTCAGTTCGGCGTGTTGCAATGCGTGATTGGCAATTTTCTTCTCTTACAGCTTGCAGATTTTTGAATCGGGTCGCCTCTTATTTCCTTGACTTGAATGTCTCTCCTAAATACACAAATTTGGAGCAGCGTGACGTTGATTAATAGAAAAACAATTGGATGAAACTTGAGAAAGAAAACAATGGGAGTTTACCAAAAGACGTAATTGTGAAAGATAAACCGTTAAAATTATAGGTTTTTTAAGTTTGTTGTCAGTAATTTAAACAATGCGCTGTAACGCAGAAAACAGGCAGATTGTTAACGCAGTCCGGAGTTACCAGACGTCGTGGACAAGCTAGCGGCTAAAATGTAAATTTGCCAGCCTGCAGGCGTAACTGTCCAGAGCCACAATTCACCGTAAGATGTTTCAGACAGATTAGTAACCCGGTAACTTTTTAAACCAGGGTAGCTAACATTAAGGCAGCTAACTTTGCTAACATTTGTGGTTCCTCTGTTAGCATAGGATGCTAGCTCAGATGGCCGTCAGCCTTTCACTGCTGGATTTCTGTTTTGTTTCTTGGCTTTGTGTGTAACCTGTAATTACAGCGTTTCGTTTCATGTACACGGCAATCAGCTGTAATGACAGCTAACCGGGGTGTTTATCGACTGCGTGTGGGTTGAACCTGGTCTTTGTGAGGCAGACGGAGCAGCTTAAAACCGTTTTGTCTCTTCCCCCCCCCCCTGGGAAAGCTGGTCGCTGGCCTGCCGCTCCAGCCGGGGGGCAGAAACAGGATCACTAGTCACCGGGAGTTTGCAGTAGTGAATGTTGCCCTGACATGTTTAGGCAACACATTACCAAGCAAATTATGAGAAAGATAAAACCTCTTCTTCCCTTTTCTCTACCAGTTCCAGTGAAATGCGTGTTGTATCTGAAGGTGCTGAGTTTATTCTGCAAAGACTCAGTTTGTGAAGCAAGTGTTGACTGTTTCACTTTAAATCACACCAAACGTCAAATAATTTAGTCAGTATATTGTCTCAAACAAAAGTTCAGTGTGTGTATATGTTGTTTTCTAGGCCAGCAGTCTAAAACCTAAAGATACTCTATAAAACAGAGACGAGCAGCAAAATCTTCACATTTCAGAAGCCGGAACCAGCAAAGTTTTGGCATGTTTGATCGATTAAATCGGCTCCACTCATCTATAAAGTAAATGTCAGCAGGTTTGAGGTTGGCAGTGGCAGTTTGGCGGCTTGTTCACATGGGGATATATATAAATGGATATGGGGTTAGGGATATATATATATATACCCCCTCTGATATTAGATGACTGTTGGCGTCTTACAGAAGTGCAAGAAGGTAACAGAACTCTATTTATTCTGAGGGAAAAGAAAGACAAGATGGGAAAGTTTCTTTGCAGATTGTTTGTCTGTCTCCAACTAAAGGCCAACTTGTACTTCTGCATCTAATGTTTGTTGAGCCCGACGCCACCGCCCCCACCACAACAAGTGTGATTGGTCGGCTCCTCCTTCGCGTGTCCGGTCCATGGGTCGTGGTCCACCGTCTCCTCCGACGCCTTCTCTTGATTCTGCGTCATTTCGCTAAAAGTAGCTGCCGTTCAACATCCATCAGGATCCGCTCAGTTTCACTCGCCATAGATTGATCAGATAATTGATTAGTCGTCGACTGTTAATCGGCAACTGTTTGGGTAATAGTTTAATCAGCGAAAATGATTTGATTCCACTTTGTTAAATATGACTGTTCTGTTTTCTTTACTCCTCTATGACCAGTAAACTGAATCTCCCGGGGCTGTGGACAAAACCAGACGTTTCAGGACGTCACCGTGGGCATTTTCTGACATTTGATAGACCAAACAACTAATCCAGAAAATACAGAGACAGTGATTGTTAGTTGCAGCCCAAGTTCGTAGTAGCGTTTTAGCGGTGTAAATGCAAAGCAGTGCAGACTCCAACGAACAAATACAAACGCTCACAACGGCGATGCAGAAGTAGAAATTGTCCTTAGTCGACAGTCGCAGTGAGAAATCTTTCCCAGGCTTGTCTGTAGTTGAACTTGTGACCTTGAGGCCGGTTCAAGTGCACCTGAGAGATCGGCCCCGGGACCGTGGCTGCGCGGCGGCCGAGACGAGCCTCGCTTTGTGCCCTTGGTTATCTGCTTACTCAGAATCACATGGAGGCGTCTCCCTCGCTGGTAAAAGTCGTCATGAAATCCTCGTGACGGAGTCACAACAGAAGCTGCAGGGGCTGAGGGGTGAGCGTCGGCACAGAAAACCTTTCACAGTGAAGATTTCAGCCGTTCAAACTGGCACCATGATGTTCGTTTTCTGTAGTGTTGTTTGCTCTTGATTAGCTTTTTTGCATTTGACTCTGGTGTAGTGAGAAACATAACTAGAGAAAGTGAATGGGCAACAGGTTTTGTTCATTACTAATAAAATGATCTCGTTCCACTTTGTCAAATGTGAGGCTCTGTTTTCTCTCTTGTTTCTCATATCGTTGTAAGTGTATCAGGTTTTGGACTGTTGGTCAGACAAACTATCGTCTGAAATGAAGCTGAATTCATGAACTAATTGACAGAAAATTAAAAGGCAATTATGTTAATTGATTCGTCATTTCAATCATATTTAAGCAGACGTGTTATGGCTTTTTGGCTTCTTAGAAATTAGGATGGGCATATTTTACTATTTCAATAACATTTATTGATTAATTACTAAATTACTCTGCAGATGAATCAGTAATGAAAATAATGATTAGCTGCAGCTGGGCAATAAAACAGTAATGATGATCATTGCAATTACAATATAATGTTCTATACATCGTCAATTCATTTGAATCACGAACAAATTAGCACTTCATTTATCTATTAAAATATTTATTTAGTTGACTGACTTCCTAACCGTATTTGTTGAAAAATGATGCTGATAGTTTTGAATGTTCTACCTCAGAAGTTTAATTGACCATCTTGTTTCTTTGACGTTCGCTCGGGATCAAACATCAGCCTTTAATAGTTGCGGCCCTTATTAAGAGATTCCTTTGGGCTCTGGGCTGAAAAAGTAGGAAAGCAATCAACAGATTAAAGGGAGTGAAAGTCAGAGTTGGTCGCTGTTGACGAGCTTCTCTGTGGCGCCTGTTATTTAACCTTTTGAAGATGGGTCTGTGAACGACCTTTGAGGGCAGCTTCTTTTGTTTTTACGGAATGACGTGAATGCAGCGTTGGTCCCAGTGAACCCAGGTTTTTAGGGTGTGACGTCTCGTCTCTCTACGCCCACCACGGATGCTGCCCGCCGTGGAGCTCAGCTGGCACTCCGCTGCTGCTCTCTGGTCGACGGTGAGACTGAGAGCTGCTTTTAGACTCGTAGCATTTGTGTGTCTCCGGCCTGCCCGCTGTCAGTCCTGCTGGTGGCTGTGGTTTTGTGTACGTGGTGCAGAGCCTCAGAGTCCGGAGGGAGGAGGCTCCGGAGATTGAAGGTTTCTTCTGTCGGCTGCGTGAAGCCTCCACGTGACTGTTTGTGTCTCGGCCTCCCAGAGTTATACCCGCTTTGTGCCCAGTTTGAGCACATTAAGGCTGCAGGACTTTCTCTTTTAAAAGCAGCGTGTTGGTCTTTATTCAGCTGCTTTGCTCTGTCTGTTGAGCAATGCGAGGAATGGAACCCCCGACCCAGGAAGTGTCAGTGCTTTGCCCTCAGAGCTCCAGACTAACCTTTAGCATTTGTTGCACTGGTGCGCCTACATTTTTCAGTTAGGTGCGCCCAACGTTTTCACAGCACCTTTACCGCCACAGCAGTCGTTTGAGCAACAACAATTAAGAAGAAATATGTGCAATGTGCCGGGTTCGTGCGTGACATGTGACATGAAGTGATATTTGCATGTGCGATTGGACGCGTGCATTGGAACAAAGAAACGCCACCGCCAACCAAATGCGATGGTCCATGCGTTGCCAATGCATAGATATCACAGAAACACACTCCTGTCTACATCGTTGGAGCAGGCGAACACGTTGAGTCAGAAAGCATCCTGACTGAAAACATCACTAACTGGCGTGGGGAGGCCTCTGCAGCGGGGGATCACAACTGCTCAGAAGATCACTGGTACCCATCTCCCGGGCATCGGTGATATCGGCGAGGTGCCTGCAGAGCCCAAAGGATACTAAAGGACGGTAGCCACGCGGCCACAGCCTGGTCACCCTGCTGCATTCTGGGAAGAGAGAGAGGAGTTTCTGCTGCCGCACCACCAGAGCACCTTTCCCCACCAAGCTATCAGACTCTTAAAGCCTAGTTCATCCTCAGCTCTGCTCCACTGATGACAGTATAGATAGATTTATATTCCTGGATGTCGTCTGCTGTGTAGCAGAAGGGAGTTACAAACTCACTTTGACTCTACAGCCTGTTGCAGCGTGACAAATGTCACAGCTAGTGATGTGTGGCGATAAGGTCTGGCTCATTCCAGTTCATCCCAGAGGAGTTGGGCGGGGCTGAGGTCAGGACAGTGAAGTTCTTCCACACCAGACTCTTTTTTTATTTTTTTTAATGGGGCTGGTTTTGTGGTCAGAAGCATTATCGTGTAGAAACAGGAAGGTGACAAACACTGTCTAAAATATCACCGCGGTAGCATCAAGAAAACAATAATAGGAACATTTCAGCGTCTCTGAGTACTGTTTGACGGTGCATTCAGGCTTCTTGTTGACATTTATCTCAAAGTGTTGATCCAACTGCAGCTTTCCTACTCTATGTAGTACCAGACGCCTCGGTGCCTGCGGCTCGTCTGTGATCTACAGAACTT